CCTGCCACGTGGGGCTCGCCGGCGACCGATCAGCCCAGCCCTGCTCCGCACTGGGAGGATTTCGCCCCCTTCGCCGAGGCCCCACAGCAGGCCTGGGAGGAGCAGAGGGCCGAGGCCCTGGCCAGTCCCTGGGGCTTTGAGCCGGGCTTCAACCTCTGTGATGGCTTCCTCAGCGAGACGCAGCCCTGGGCCAAGGCCGACGCCTTCCTGTGATCCCCTCCCTCCCCTGGCGCCCGTGGGCTGCAGTGCCGGGAGTCCTGGCCCCCGACACTCGCTCTTCTCTGACTGCCCCTCGCCTGGGGGGGGCTCCGCCCCCCGCCCCTCTCCCGGCCCCCGCAGGAAGGCAGGCCCTGCCCAGCACTCCTGTCCTTTCCAGCCCCAGGCCTTGCCCATGCAAGGGGGGGTCGCATTGAGCGCTGCCCCTCCCCTGACCAGCTGTCACGCCTCAGGCCGACGACTCGGCCGTGCAGTGACCGTCACAGGGCAGGCTGGGCCCTGCCCCCAAGCCCAGCGTGGCCCCAGTGTCAAAGGCCAAGGGGCAGGAGCTGTGGGATGGGGCCACAGGGAGTCTCTTGAGGGAGCTGCTGTGAATCGCTTGGGGTCTCAGACACGCCAGGCGGGCCTAGGGCAGGAGGAGAGAGACGGCACCAGCATCCTCGGGCTGAGGGGCCTCGCTGGGCATTGCCCCAGCCTGGGCAGGGTGAGAGGCTAGGCGGGAGCAGCCGGTGCCATGGCACGAGCCCGTCGGCAGGGCCTGGGAGACTCCAGCCGCAGGGGCCTGGATGTGGGCTGGCGTAGGAGGCGCCTGGTTCTGCAGCAGGGCGGGGAGCCCCAGAAGAGCCACCAGCTGTGGGGAGGCCCTGACAGCTGCCTGGCGTATTAGCCACATGTGAACCATGTGGGCTCAGCAGAACACCTGCCTCCCCCACCCTCTCCCCTGCACCTGCCTCAGTGGGGCCACCCACTGGCATCCAAAGAGGCTGCTCCCAGCTTAGCTTTCTCAGGCACCCACAGCCAGCCTGCCCCCTCAGGCCGGGAAAGGCCAGAGCCACGCCTTGGAGGCAACTCCGGCTCTTGCTGCTGCGGGTCCCCTCTCCACCTGCTGAGCTGGTCACAGGCCGGGAAGGGGGCAGGGTGCTCACAGGTGACCCAGGGGTGGGGGCGGGGGGGTGTCTGAGGGCTGGGCCCTGCTGGTGCCAGCTCCTGGGGCTTACCCCGGACCTGCCTGCCATGAGGCCACAGCAGGGGCTGGTCCCACCTAGTAGCTGCTGTGGGACCCATCAGGGCCCTGTGGGGGAGGTGTGAACTGGGCTCCGTGCTGTTGTAGCCTTAGATCAGCAATGGCATTAAGAGGAAACAGAAGCCGTGGGGGGAGGGTGCTGTATGGGGGAGGGGGTGTCCCCTGCAGGGATTCAACTGGCAGCCCAGCTCTGCAGGGCCAAGCCACAGCAGCCTTGGAGAGAAAACAAAGCACAAACTCTCACAGGGCCGTCGGCATCCATGTGGGTCAGAGCCTGTGCACCTGGAGGGCACATGAGCCTGGCTGGGGTACACTGCTCTAGCCTGAGTGCCCTGGGTGTGCAGTGCCCTGGCAGCCTGGCTGCAGTTGTGCCCACACACATACACGCCTGTCAGGGGAATCTGACTTACACGTCCCACTTGCACCCGCGGCCCCCGCCCTTCCCCGGCCTCGGAGCCTCTTCCCCCCCGACAGTCGTACAAAGGGCCGCTGACGTCACGGTGATGAATAATCCAACAGCAGCCCGGTGCACGAAGCAGCCTGTGTCCCCGCTGCCACCTGCCCTGCGCTGCCCACAAGCGGGGCCGGCAGGCTGAAGCCGCACTCTGACGCTCCTGGTGCACATGGTGGCTGGCTTGGATTCTCTCGGGCTTTGGGTTGAGAATTTTTATTGTAAAAGAGAAAACGAATAAAAATCCGCTCCTCCGACAGTGTGGTGCTCCGTTCCGGGGCGCCCCCAGCGGCGTGGCTGGGCAGGGTGGAAGAGGGAGGGCAGGCGAGTGGGACTCTGACGCTCCTGGTGCACATGGTGGCTGGCTTGGATTCTCTCGGGCTTTGGGTTGAGAATTTTTATTGTAAAAGAGAAAACGAATAAAAATCCGCTCCTCCGACAGTGTGGTGCTCCGTTCCGGGGCGCCCCCAGCGGCGTGGCTGGGCAGGGTGGAAGAGGGAGGGCAGGCGAGTGGGGTGATTCCCGCTGGGCTGGCTCACACAGGCAATGCAGGGCTCCCGCACATAGTCCCCTCCTTCC